TGAACTAGGTGTTTTCGCATAAGCTCCTTCAGACGCTTACTATTATTAGTGACGTCTGGTAAATAATCAATCTCAGGAGTCGGTAGTTAGTTGACAGTGTATTTATAGGAAGAAGTATGCACCTTAACAAGGTAACGCAACGATAGTCACAACTTCGAATTGCTTACAATGATTGGTCTTCAGGAGCCGGATGGCGGAAGCCTCAGCAAAGTTGGGTAGTTCTGAGAACTGTGTCTGCTAATAACCTTGAATGTAATGCCGGGGTTCTGAGACATCGCTCTTTCCAACGGATGTCGGCAAATTCAGCTAGCAATTACTTAGAGGCAATCAAAACCATGTATGGCGGGATATCTTCTGCAATCTTGGAGAATAGCCTGCTGTCAACCCGGCATCCTTAACCGGTGTTGGACAGTTTTCAACGGGATCTTCTCAGTCTCAAAATGTACGTAATAAGCTCAGATATTAAAAAGCCTAATCGATTACGACGGTCCGCACAGAAGCACACAAATAAAAGATTGTTTTCATTGCGCAGATCTCAGTCTCGCTTGTACGTCTGTGTGGAATGGCAACTTAACGAAATTAATACATTCCGTAAAGAAATGAACTATTGTGCATTAGTATCGCAATTAAGGTAGTTCAAATGGGAAAATTTTGCTAGCGTTCAACCAGCCTGCGGCGCAAAATTTATGACATGTATATTTGGTGAAAACGATAAAAGATTCCGTCATATCGAAGTAAAAGGCCTGCGAAACTGGTACAATGGAACACTGGTGTAATACAGGTAAAAAGAAATGATTAACAATGCTCCTGAGATGGAAATTATTTCGAAAAGTAATCAGTTGAGAAAGTTTTGTTGGGCTCTCGATAGATATACATAAAAGAACCGAGATGTTCGCGTGACAACAGCAAAATCCATAGATCCACTGGTTGTAATTTCGGGATCACATCCCTTTGTTGCGTTATGTAGCCCCTTGGGCTAACACAAGATGTAAAAGAAACTGTCGATGGGACAATGTTCCATTTAGTCGTATTTAAATGTCTTTAGTTTGTGGGCAGAAGCGATATAATTTGGGAGACCGTTCCACGACTGACACACTAGGAGGGAAAATAAATTTCTACGGCATTCCAACCGGCTATACTGTACCGTCAGTTTCAAAGAGTGACCTGTTAGATTGGTGCTGTGATTCAGTTGCAGCGGCAGGCGGCAAATGTTGCTTGGGTTATGCAGGGTCTGGTAAACCACAATATAGTCCCCACGTAAGCATCGATATCGACCGATGTGCAATCTTAGAAACTCCAACATAAACTAGCAAGCAGATGGAGAGGCCTCTAAATTTATTAGTCGCTGTTTGTTGAAGAGACTCAAATGCCACGGGATCCTTTTTCTTTCACGGCTGCCATGCTTGGATGACGTATTCCACGTTCGGTCGCAAGTAAACATTAAGCATCTTCGGGAAGAATGAAGGATCAAACCGACCTGCTGTTTTGTGAAGAAGGCCCAACTGTTGATTACCGGTTCTTGATGTCTTCTTGGGTCGTTCGGAGCATTTGTGATCACCCAGGTAACCTTTCTGAGAGACCTACTACAAGGTGTGGTCATCACGCCTGTACATGCTCACCAGCGGATGAAGCAGGTGAATCACCTTGTACTTAGATTTATTGAACTGGAGTAGGTTCCTCGTTTATCATTTATGAACACAATCAATTGCAAGTTGGAGGAAATCATTATCTTCCTTGTCATTATTTGCTCGCTACATCTTGACCTTATCAGAGAAAGGCGGAAAATTGGAGATTACTTCTGTCAGGTCGTTGATAAACATAAGGATTCAGCGCGGTCTCAGCACCGAGCACTGCGGAACTCCACATCTCACGTCAATTGGGTTGGAAAGTGATACCCTAACAAGTAGTTAAAACCTCCGTTGTTGAAGCAAGTTTGCCACCCAAGCAAGAACAGGATTTCCGATTCTATTACTCCGTAGGCCATGTAGTAGGTTGCCGTAATGCACGTCTTCGAAAGCTTTGGATAAGTCCAGGTAGACTACGTCGACTCTGAACCTATCACCAGTCAATTGAGTCCAGCTACCTCGTGCCATCAGCAAGTTGCTTGCACATGACAGGTTTTGACAAAAGCCGTGCTGCTCCGGTGCCAAAACATTGCATTTGTCAATATAATCCACTATTACATCAGCGACGACGGCTTCCATCATCTTCGAGAGCAAAGGGAGTAGAGTCAATGGGCGATTGTGTGCAGGGTCTCTAAGGCTACCGCATCGAAAACTTGGGACAATAACCCCATGCTACCACATAGTGGGGACTTGTTTTTCATCGAAGCATCTTTGAAAAACTATGGCAAGGTCTCGGCTAGTTAAATGGCGGCAATCTGCAGTGCTTTCCTTCGAAAGTTGTCAGATCCCGGAGAGTTATGATGGCACAATGAAATTCACTTCTTTAGCACAGTTGCTGGGTTGAAAATTATATATGTGCACCCCGAGGTTAATAAAGTGGATGAAGGCATCTAATAGGGAAAGTCAGCGATTGCTAAAATCGAGGCGTATTCCGATGCGAGCTATTAATTGCTGGTCGATGCTTTGTGCTCTACCATCTATTGAGAAAGATAGAGGGATACGGTGCATTAAACAACGAAGGTTCTTGACATGCTAAACAGTAATACGTTGTTTGCCAGAAACCTTTTGATTACTCCTGTTTATGTGTTAGTTTGTCCTCACGGAGAAGCGTAATGCAATGTTTACAATGGTCCAGGAAGTTGCCTCAAGTCTTAGGGTCGGGATTGGCCTTGCAGGCATACATTTCTGCATACCTTATTAACATGCATTTCTGAGTCCTGCTTCTGAGAAGTAACGACACACTTACGAAACTAGGTAGCATGGTTTCCGATGCTACTTTGGCCATGTCGTTAGATCATTCAACACACTGTATAAACGCTGTCAAATAGAGGTCTCGACGAGTTCAGTTAACTGCGGCCGTGCTTGCTTTTATGATGAACAAAGAACAATGATTTAGCACGGGTAAAAAAGTACGTCCTTGACAAATCCAGTAGGATGGTTGGAGTAAAAATTAAACTTTGAAGGATCATCAAGTCAGTAATTTGTTATTTCAAGCCACCACCGAGTTAAATGCACTACTGCCTAAAGATAGTCTGAAGTGAGAATGGGATGTGTACACGCAGAACAGTATAGAGAGTTGTTACAGTTCAGTAAGTGCGTGAGAAATAACATGTGAAACGACAAAGCTCACTCGCTTTTTTCTTCATTTGACAGACGTGGTATGTTAATCCAGTTTAGCTACATCCAAGCTAATCTAATGGACACTTCTGCATGTGTCTTCACCGCCACGTTACGGAGAGGGCCGTCAAGCACACGGTTAGGTTTGCGTTATTTCGTCCTCCAAGTGGAAAGGACCATATCAATTAATGCAAGTTGGAAAGCCTTTCATTATTTCCCTTTTTGCATAGCTTTACTGTAGGGACAAACGTAACGTGAGTCGGAAGGGCATTCCCGGCACGGGACACACAGAAGTTGAAAACGTTTCGTCGACTGTCAAGTCGACTGTAGTGCGTAGCCAGTTTAAGCTGATGGCCACTCAGATTGGTATTTCGGCTCAGCTGCAACAGATTGCGACAGATGAGTTGGGTTCTTCAGTATTATGTAAACCATGATTCGGTCTCCTCGCTGACGTCGATATTCACCACTATACAGTCTCAGGGACTGCAGTCTGCGTTGGTAGCAGAGATGAAACATTCCTCGAACGAGTCTGGTTGTTCTACGTTGTGCAGCTTCAACTGCATCGACGTCGCTCTTGCGCCAGGGACGCCAGGCCTGGATCGCCTATTCCACGTGAGGCATCACGTAGGCGTTTAGCATTTGCGGAAAGAATGATGGCTTAAAATTCTCGAAATCCCTCCGTAAGAGTCCAAGATGATGACTGGCTCTTTCTGAGGCCTTTTCAGACTGTCTCGAGCAACCAAGATCGTCCTGCATGATAACCCCGAGGTCATTTTCTTGGGAAGCACGTTGTAACTGCCGGTCCCCAAGTCGATATTCATAGATAAGCTGATGGCGTATGTTTACGACTTTGCATTTGGTCACGTTGAACTGGAGCCGGTAGTCGAATGACCACGCATAAGCCGTGTCGAGATCGCTCTGCAATGCCATGTGATCATCCAAGGTCCTGATATGATGCCAACTTTTGATATCAACCGCCAACAGTAAAAAATTCGACTGCAGTATACTGCCAAGCTGGATAATGAACTTGAGGAATATTCGTGGCCCCAGCACCGATCATTGAGGCACGTCACACTGGACGTCAATTGGGTCGGAAATGGAGCTGCGAACTCTCACATTTAGCTGACGTTGAATGATGAAGTTGCCGTGCCAACCGGATATAGGGTTACCGATTCCAAAGTTTCGAAGCTTGTGAAGGAGAATGCGGTGATCCAAACGATCGAACGCTTTCGAGAAGTCCAGGTGGGCAACGTCGACTCCCACTCTGGCATCGAGTGCTCAGATGGATGCTCTGTATAAAAGTAATGTTGTTATGGTATCTGAAATTGCCACCTGATGGATGGCTTGGTACGTCCAGAGTAAAGGCTTATAACTATGCGCTGATGCGTGTAATAATCGGAGCGATTTGTTTGAAATGCAAATGAAAAGCACGAAAGTTTCTTATCAGGTAACCACTTTGATATTGAAAGATATGTGTGCGTATTATTGTACGTCCCCTATTTAGCATATTTGATGCTTTGTGTTAGATAGCATTTGAAATTACGGCTAGAGGTTAAAAGTAAACCATTACACATGCATCTCGAGAACTCGCTCATTAAAACGAAAACGGGATGCTCAAGATAAATGGTAGTTATTGCTATATACTACCGATAATATTCCAAAGATCAGTTAATTGGGTTTTTACACCAGAGACCTGGTAAAAACAGTTTAGTATCGTCCATTCAACAGGCAGAGTGATGGTACACTATCCCAACTTACATATGGCATGCATGCCATTGCCATCTCTCTGGTGGCTCGTGTGGTCGAAACACCTCATTGCCAACATTGTGGATAATGGAGGAGAAACGGAGCAGTCTTCGCATGTGTAACAAAGCCAGCTTGGGATTTCGGTTCACCAAATTGTACACATTTGGCGGAAAGCAGTTTTCTTCCAAGGCACACTGTGCTTGAAACAATGGGATCAGTGTGCTGTACGCGGAGTCCTGTAACACAGCATAATCCGGTTCCAAATCTGGAAGGGCTGATGTTGATGAACAGAGAAAAAAATAAAAAATGAAAAATCGCCAGCTGTACGTCGTAACGGCGCTTCGCTTGTGTGCGACTCGGGTGTGGGCTGAGTATACCGCGAGGACGCCCGCCCCTACACGGATTCGAACCGGTGACCTTATGGTTGCGAACCAGACGCGAACACCACTCGGCTACCGGCCGGTTGGGACAGGGCGGAACTAATACTGAAAAGCGCGAAATGTACTGGACGTTGGTGCGGATATCGCCTATTTAAATTGGGACCAAAACAGACCAGGCTCCAGATCCCTGCCAAGTATATTCAAGACATTAAGATTTACATTTTTCGATAGTCTTTTAGAAGCTAAGCAAACATACAACATTGTTTACAATGGCTTACTCTCATCTGAATCTGGTCCAAAGCAAATACACAAAGAGATCGCGGTAGATTTACATCACCATCTGAATAGAAAAACTGCAGTCAGAGAACAGGAGTTTCTATTGTTTCCCGCAGTAAATATTGTGCACCTAACCACCTGTTTTATCCACTCTTGGACTGCTCGGGTAGAAATATGCTCTAAGCTTAATTCCAAATCTCGAGGCAGGTGACAGCTGGACATCCTCTTTTTGGACATCGAACTGGGACACACTTGGAGGTTTCCATAAGACAGCATGTTGTAGAGGCCTTAATTTGAGTGGACATATGTACCCATTAGTTTTATGTATTTGACTGAAATCATCCTTCTTCGTCATTTCGGCTTTCTGAATTCACTGTGATGCTAGTATTACCTTCTTGCACATCAGTGCGTTGGTCTCTGTTGGTTGCTTCAGAGGGCTGACATGGTTTTCGGTGAGATTTGAAAGTGGCCGAAATAGCGAGATCATTTCAACCAGTAAAGTACAGTATGAGAGAGAACATAAATTGTGAGAAATGTTTACTCCACCCAGTTTTCCGGGTGCGCTTAATGAAAGAGATGAATGTGAAATAAATTCTTTAATACGACCTTAGTAAATACCAAAGTTTCTAGAACTAAGTGGAGGCATTTGAAACGCAGGCTTCTAATCCATGCATTCAGAGATACTTATCAATTAAATCTTCTGGGGTATTTGAATTATAAGTCCAATGCTGACTGTTGATTAAATCATTTGATTCTGATCAGTGATCTTAGCTTTTTCACTTTAGACAGAACCGTGTAATCCAACACCAGTAATATATAATTTTATATAAATTATATTAGAAATAAGTAAAACTTCGTCACATATAGACTCACTCAGACAGCCGTCACATGCCCGGAAAAGCACTGCAGGCGCGTTTCATCCACTTGGCAATCGTCAGCAGTGCGCATTCCATCGGACCCTGGTAGGGCTCCAACCCGCGACTCGACTGTTACCAGTCCATGGTTGAGACCACTGAGCTACGGGGGACGGCAGCGGCCATTGCGAATAAGTTACTTGATGTGATATAGGGCAGCTCACTCTCCACTGACTTGCACGTTACTACCATGCAAAGGTCAGAGTAGCCCCTCACCAAGCGACGAAATTACCAAACTTAAGCCGCCAACTAACCAATCGTAGTATAAGCAGTTTGGTCTACGTACTGTGATATTGGAAATGCAAGAATTTCAATGGTGATTCACCCAAGTAAAACACAGTCACACATCCGGCTAACAGCAGATGTGTCGGACGTCCCTTTCATCACTTATGGCTTCATTGGAAAGACACGGTTCCATTAAATTCCATCAACTCGATCCCGTTTTCGTCTTTACACTAGGAAATTATTGTAATTTGGTTAGTTGCATGGCACTTATCCGAACTGGTCAAACTGCGCTTAGTTGCTGTTTACAAAGAAGTCTGCTAGCATCCGAACTACATTCTACACCATCCGGCCTGCAACACCAATGTATTCATGTTGTAGGTTCAGATGTGACTCAAACCAAAACCGTGCACAATATTTCATAACGGTCACTGACTTACCTGCGCCGCAAGTGACAGCAATTCCCACATCTCTTTTAGAGCATGGTACACCTCTCGGATCCGCAAATGCCACACAATCCTCAAGTCGTGACTCGTTTCCAAAACAGTGCCCGATCACAACCACTGGGTAGTTGACCGTCCAGCTGGAAGTGTTCACTGGAACCTGTGTGAGATTTTATGCGGCAACAAATAACGTAGCCATAGATTACCAATAGGTTACGCGTGAAAGGTAACTTCAACTCTCTAGAACATCTTGACTGTAAAATTTAGATAGTCGCTGCATGGATTAAAGGGCCAAACAACAGCGTTCGTAAGTTAGCAAGTGAATGTTGGAGTTTCAGTGGAAAACTTCCCACTTTCCAGCCAAATGTCCTTTGCTTCAAGCTCAAACAACTGCACTAGTCTAGGAGCCTTTAATTAAAGGAAACTAGGTATTTCTGCAACGGTTCGCTAGAGTATGATCTTTAGAAGACAAGAATAACGTCATCTCACTGACAAAGCGTGACGAACACCCTCGACGTTATAGAATTCAACAGTTATTACAAGAATCCTGTTATTTTGTTACACTTAACATAGTTTCTTTGAGTAGATGGAGCAATGGAACAATGGTGAATTACGGGTAAAAAACAGCACTGCTTAACAAGTCCAGTAGGATAGAAATTATTGCGAAAATAAAATTACATGTTAATGTGAAAAGCGTTTTTTGTGGATTCGCCATTGACTTATGTAGATTAGCGCAGATGATCGCGTATTAAAAGTATAAATTCATTGCTTGAAAGTTTGGTAATACACCGTTTGATTGCGTTTTGTAGCACCCTGACTAAAAAGTCATAAAATGAAATGCAAAGGAGACAACGCATCATCAAGTCCTTTTTAATATCTTTAGATTGGTGCAGTGACGATATAATTAGGGACGGCGTCCAAGGTTGGCACATGCGGAGCCAAAATAAATTTCGGAATTCAAACTGACTATACTGTATTGTTAGTTGCAGTGGATGGCTTCCTAGGTTAGTGCTGTGGTTAAATTCTAGCAGCAAGCGGCAAATGTGGTTTGGGTTCTTCAGAATCTGATGAATTATTATGAGATCCCCCCGCAAACGCTGACATCGACTGCTGTAGATTCTTAGAGATTCTAGTCTAAGCTGAGAGGACAGATGAAAGAAGCCTCTGATGTTCTTTGTTGCCTTTCTTGGAGAAGTCTCGAGAACAACTAGGTTCTTTTACTGTCACTGCTGCCAAACCTTGACGTGCAGTCGCGCATTAGCGTTAAGCGTTTGGGGGAAGATTGATGGTTCAAATCTACCAAACTCTCTGCGAAGCAGGCTAAAGTGTTGGTTGTCAATTCTTGATGCCTTCTCGAATGGTTTGGAGCATAGGAGATATTTCTGTACCAGTACTCCCAGGTCAAGGTCCTGAGACGCCTTCTGCAAAGTGTGATCTCTAAATTCGTAAACGTTCACCGGCCGGTGACGCAGGTTGATTCTCTTTCACTTAGCTTGGCTGTACTGAAGCAGGTTCCTCCGTGACCGTTCATTAATGCAATCTATGTTATGTTGGTGATGGTGATCTTCATTACTAATTGCCTGCCACTCTATGCGATCATTGGCGAAAAGTGGAAACATGGAAGATATAATTTTTGCAAGGTCGTTGAGCAACACCAGGAATAAGCGCGGTTCCAGATGTTGCAAACTGACATACATGAAGTGCACGCGAACTGCAATGTACGGTTGACAACACGTAGGTTCGCGGCCACCTCCTTCCCTGCTCTGACACTACACACGGAAGGAGTCGATGATGAGAATATTACCGAAGAAGTATGGATTTCCAGTAAACACACGAATCTCAAAGCCACCGAGCTCAGTGAGCAGATCTGGTAACAGATGCTTAGGATTCAAGCATTTGAGCCTTAGAGAATTCACAGTGTTTTTGGATCACCGAGACCTGGCTCACACAATAGTGATTTGCTTCAAAGGGAATCGAGGAGTATCCTAGAGCTACGTATCACTGCACAAACACACCAGATACCCAAAGGAAATCTACAATGTACATGGCATTCCTTGTTCTTGTTCGTTTTGCGGAGAGCATAGGCAACTCGATTCCCACATCACATACTTTCCTATCTATTGAAAGGCTCAACATCCTCAACACATAGATGTTCTCGTACCTTCTCCAGCTACTCGCACTGTTAAGGGCGTATTTTCAAAATTGTCTAGAGCGTGTTCTGCACTAGTAAGATACAAAAAACAGTATAGTGATTATGGCGATCCGCAAGTAACTTTATCAAAATTCCATCATTCACCGTGAAATACTGCAATTTTAGCACTTTGTATGAGCCTACGTAACCTAAGGGTACATTTTCCGGTTGGCAGTACCTATGTCTCCGGCTCGACTAGCAGTGTTCCTTCCTCCGCCTGACGAGCCCAACCATGTACAAAAACTCGTGGTGTAGTTTCTTGGGATGAGTCCGCAACGCACAACTATCTCTCACATACAATAACAGCGACAGAAATATCTGAAATTCAGTCCAAACGCGGTCCAGGCTAGGAATGCTTATCGAATGCAATCCATGTAACGATGTCATCAGCGATTCAACAGTATGAATTCGTCTTTTATTCATGATATTTACGCTCCACATATTCGTAGAAACGCTATTTAGTGACCTGACCTGAAAATAATCAGCGTTCTTTTAGATATCGTTACGGTCTACTTATGAGTAAGGGGACTTTTGGATAAAAGTTTGCTGATTCATCCCAGCAGCTCACAAGCCAAATTGTCCAATCATCACTCCGGTAAGGCACCAAACGTAAGTATTTGGCCTTTGGAGCCAGTCAATAACGAACATTTCATCGGTCTCTTTCAGGGAACTGAACACGACCTCTAGCAACTCGTGCAGCGTGGTCAGCATCCTATACCTATGAGCATTGTGGAAGGTGGCACATCGTTATAATGCAAATTAACTAAGATATGGCATGATCTAAGGTCAAATATCATGCGGAGAGCAGTTGCTGACCATAAGAGGTCATGAATTCAACCCCACTCTAGCTTTGTACGCTTACCACTGGAAGAATATGCGGTTAACATGCAAATTTTCGGGATTACTAAACGTGGTGCGAATCCGGACTGTTTTCGGAAGAAAGCATCCTACGTAGTATTCATGTAGAGACCTAAATCGACAAGGCAAATGAATTGGCTGACGTTGGTTTTACTTTTTCGGGAACTGTATCTAATCGGCAATGCATAGTAGCACATCAGATCCGGAACGTATTCACTTTCAATGGTCAATACAACTAATGTGCTCGTCTTCATATATTTGTAGAATAGGGCGTGTCCATTGTATACGGACCAATGGTTTATAATGGGTACCAAAGCGAATGCTTGACATGACCCGTAGGATGGTTTTTGGTGGAAATCACAAAATTAAGAAAACCGAATCAGTAACAGAACACGTGAGGTATATGATTCACCAAGGAGTTTGCGTTAGCACACGCGCGAGAATTCCTACCTGAGGTTTAGGTGGAATATAACACCCTCCAGTGTATGTTCTGCCCTAATGCCATCATCTGATAGTTATGGACCACCTCTCTTAGTGTAACTGTGTAATGGTATTGTCAAAGCATGTTTTGAATAAGGATAAGATGGAAGCCCTTATTACGTGCGCCGGAGGGGGTCTTCTGGGGCTGTGGCACTCGGAGCAGGAAAACGTTCGGTTGACATCCTAGTCCGCTGTACCGCGTGGACAGCTTAAACTGATGACTTCTTGGAGACGAGTGTTGGCTGCGTTTCAAAAGATAACGGCATGTGCAGTCGGGGATTGTTAGGATTTGGCAAAATCATAATGAGATTTCCTCGTTCAGGCCTATCACGTCCGCTGTATATTTGTAGTGTTTCAGACTGAGTGGGTGGGGAAGTGGAACAAACATGTGATGTACCTAGTTGCCCGTTGTTATGCTGTATCCACTGCGGTGAGGTGGTGTTGCTGTCAGGGTTTCCGGGCTTGGATAGCGTATTCCGCATGCGGGCTCAAGTACACGCCAAACATTTCCTGAAAGACCGAAGCGTCAAACATCCTGAACGCTCTACAGAAGATGCCGAAGTGTGCGTTCGCTTTGTTCCATGCGTTTTCAGTCTGCGGCCATCAACCAAGGTCATTGTGCAGGGCTACTCCGCGATCGCAATCATTAGAAGACCGCGGTAGCATTAGTGGCCTTAGCTCCGGGGGGGGGGGGCTTTCTCTATGGATCGAGAGAAATACGCTTGGTTCGCAGTTAACGGAACAGCTACAACTATGCAAGGTAGATGGGTATCTGTGTTCATAACCTAAGTAATACAAATTTAAACATCTAAACTCATGCTATCATCCCTGTAGGTCCCCAGAAGAAGCTTCCAAGAATGGCGGTGTTACTTTACGTGAACAGTTGACCATGTCTCCATTTGTTATGCTTCGCATTTTAGCATCCCATTTGGATACGTCCAACCTCAGTTTACTATAAATTCTTTTGTAAACCTTGATGCAAGCCTTTAATCATCTTTTATATGGGATCTCTGCGTCTATTAGATTAGACCACAGATTTGGACTGTGCCTCGCTTTGTCGAGAAATATACCACTTAATTTGGCACGGATGTTAGGCCTTCAGGGACGTGTTACACTAGCGAAATTTTGAAGCTGCCTACCAGTTACTTTACAAGCTGCGGTATATTTGGCTCACCTGTAAGTAGCCCGTTCCAAATCCTCGTCCAACTGATCTGCAAATGACGTTTGCTTCTGCACCCGCAAACCGATCAACACAGACGGGACCCACTAACTTGTGGTCCAATAGTAATTGTGCCACAACGAATGCGGGCGACGAAATGTTCTCTAAATCTTCCAATGTGGCAATGAATGGTTGCTGAAAAGAGAAACACGCGAAAGATTGTGCCAAGTTATTTGAATTAATTGAAAAGTTTCCGAAAGAACCAGTAGTTTTGTTCTGATTCGTTACGGTGCGAGCCGACGTTATGTGACCCAAGAAAGTTAGGATATGTGATGTTCCCCATCCACCAGGCGTTTCTATCGAACATTCCAGAACACATCCAGTGTGTTATCTCAATAGCCAGACGCGTGTGTGGTACACCTGTGCCTGGCCCAGGATTGGGCAAGAATTAGTGATTCGCTCAGTTGCATCAATATATTTAAGCAATCTGGTAGGTAGCCACTCCCCAAGCTGCTAGTCCGCCTGTCTCTTGCTGACAAGCCTCTTCCTGTGCAGCAGCCTTAGGTATACTTTCTATTTTGTTTTTCTCGACAAACCGGGACGGGTACCCGTACGCTCTGGTTGCAGCTACATTTTGTTTTTGCATGGGAATAGAACAAGATGAATTTTAGCAAGGAACTCTGCTGGATTCTGATTCCTCTGCCTCAGATAGGTAGCGTAAAATATCCGCTAATTGCACCACATGCTTACATTTACAATCTGACAGGAATAAGGGAGACATTCAGAGGCTAAACTGAACGATGCCAGAAGTTTAGCTCTGAGCACAACCACTGGGTTTTTCTTTCTTTTCTTATGACTGAACAGAAATGTTTACGACGCAGTCCAACCTGTCTAGGAGGCCCACTCTGGAAGCCGACAAAAAGTGGTCGCTTTTGACAGGTTGTCACACACAGTTTCATGCATAGGGACATTACTCATAGGAGAAAACGTTTGGGATGTTTTGGCTCATCGCGATAAACAGATGGTCACCATAGCATTTTGGAAGGTATATTTATAAGTTTGATATGCTTGCGCAGTCAAAATCTAGCTATTCTCCGGGAGTAAAATAACTTTAACCTTATCGGAGATTTAAACCGCTTTTCGCATCATAGTGTTGGATCACGGATGACAACTTGTTGCAACCTCTTTCCTCCAACATCAGACTAATTCTTATCTAACCCAACCTGCAAGGTAGTGATACCCCAACTAAACATATTCCCGTAAGCTCCATTCCCATTCCCGTTTTCCACAGTTCAGACGGCCGTAATTGATTTCTTTATGCATTCACACATCTTGAACGGTCTTTTATTTTATTTATTGGTGTCTTTAAGCTCACACCCACCCTAATATCATACATTAACGACATCCCGGATAATATTCAATCCTCGATGCAAATTTTTGCAGATGACGCAAAAATCTGGAGAGTTATTCGCTCAACATCAGACTGTGCCCTCCTCCAGAATGATTTGGATAGAATCAACAAATGGGCAGATATAAATCACCTCCCCCTGAATGCTGCCAAGTGTCACCTACTGTCATTGCGCAGCAATCTTGCCAACACGTACCTCTTGGGGCAGTACGCTTTACGGCGCGTGACCACAGAAAAAGACTTAGGTATCATTGTGCAAGAAAGTCTGGGGAATTCGCTCCAATGTTCCAAAGCAGCGAACGTGGCGAACATGAACCTGAGACTTTTAATGCGAGGTTTTGCTGTTTTTGAACGACGGCTGGTACCCATGCTTGTCAACTCCTATATCCGTCCCCACGTCGAATATGCCGTCCAGGCTTGGTGCCCATGGTTAAAACGGGACATTCATCTCTTAGAGCAGCCCCAACGAAGAGCTACCAAGGCAACACGCGGATTATCTGGTCTCAATTATGAAGTGCGTCTCAGTTTAATCGGAATGTTTTCCCCCGAATACCGACGACTAAGCGGAGATCTCATTCTCGCATACCGGATATTAACGGAAAGCGATCACCCGTGCAAATCGCTGCTCACCCTAGCCTCATATAAGCGATCGAGAGGTCATAACCTCAAGCTGATAATCCAACACTCCCGATTGGACTGTAGAAAATATTTTTACTCTCTTAGAATCTGTTCACAATGGAATGACTTGCCAACGCATGTGGTAAACGCTCCGAACATTACAGCCTTCAAACAATTGTTAGACATTCATCTGAGTGACTAACGACACATTGTGGTGTGATGTACCAGGTTTAGACTATTGGCATTTCAGTTCCATGTCGGAATCTAATGATTTTTATCTATTTGCATTTACCATCCTATGGGACTTGTAAAGCCAATGCTTTTTATCCCATCATACACTATTGAACTATTGAACTATATATATATATATATATATATATATATATATATATATATATATATATATAACCACCGTCTGTTGTAAGATAAATAAAAAGCTGACTTTCGATTAACCTTGTCCCATTCTTCCGTTAATTGCCTTCAATAAGTTCAAAGTACTTGCAAAATGCTTGTTACTTTTATTAAAACCATCTTTCTATTGCTGATGGTAATGCTTTGGACAGTGCTTGATAGTGTAAGCTGAAATTCTATACAATTGATTAGATTGCTCTACGGCCTGATTTTAACCTTGTCTCACGTTTATGCTATGCATCATAGTAACTCGGCAATATTGGTAGCAATTTGTATATGCAAAGACCTAAATTTGTCTACATGCCACAGGATGAGACGGTGATGTGTGTGTCTTGCTGGAAGGGACGGCTGGACGCAAGAAATCAACCAAGTACCCAATGTGAGACAAGCGTGACGAGCGCAATCATTGGACGCAGCATGTGCAAACTTCCACTTACGCAACACCGTTGATTGGGCGGATTTCGTTTACGCTTAACGAGCACCGATCAATTGTATGACTGTGTCAAAGGTAGAACACCATTGGTTCAAGGTTGTCTTTGTTTATGGAAGTGCACGCGAATATATATAAAAGCACTCTTTGGGTCAAAGTTGCTGCAGTTTTTGTTACGTTGCCTTAATTGAAAATAACCCACCTGTTGTACCGCCTACCGCAAGCTCCAGTCTTGTCTGTCATCCCACGCACCGCAGTATGCAATGATTGGGTAAGAGTCATCGATGGATCAATCTCAAGGTCATTATGCCTGTAGATTATCTGAATAGAGTGTCTGAATAAAGTGTTTTGCTTTCCTTAGTGGGTTCGGCCCGTAGTGATTCAAGACCTTGATTGCGCAGGGGCCTAGTGTGCGTATTAGGAAACAACATTGGCGCCGCTGCTGTGAAGTGCTACAATGGCATTCCATCTTCCAACTCCGGACGTATTTTGGTGTGCTTCACGTGTCAAACCTAGTGAGAATGACTGGGCTCAATGGAAAACATATTTTACCAATTACTCCGACTTACTACCATCAGCTGCTACTTACAAGCAGACCCAAATGTTGAAACTTCCTCATCACCTAGTAGAAAATGAGGTACAGCTTTACTTGTATGCACTGGAAGTGCAAAAGTGAACAGGCTCACAAAGGCGGAAGATGTTGTGGATGGATCTTAGGGCGCCCAACCTAATGTCTTTGCTGAAAGTTACAAATACTGCTGTTTGGTACAAGAGGACTCAGAGTCCCTGGAACACTTTGTTTCCCACTTGGTCCGTGCAGTAAAAACATGCGATTACTCCAGCATTCCAAAGAATAGATTTGATGGGGCTATTCTGAGACAACAATTAACATTCGACATCACACATCATCGTATGCGAGAAATACTACTTCTGGAAGATCCCTCGAAGCTTTCCTGTGATAGTGCCATAGAGGTCGCTAGGTTCAAAACAAGTGTCTTTGAACAGTCACATCTGTTCAGCCCCAAAGAATTTCTCAATATCAGTAAGCTTCGAAGCACGAATGCTATACCATCTCAGAATGTGACTGCTTTGTGCTTTCGATGTGAAAGTTCTCAGCACAAATCAGATTGTCATACGTGTCCAGCCCGTACAGTAGATTAAAAAAACTGTGGTAAGCGAGCTATTTCGCCCGGTGTTGTCGCTCCCCCGTGTAGCACTAGTAGTACAACCGTCGACTGAGTCTTCTTCTGCGTCCGCTACGGAAAATATTTATGTGGTTAAAAAACTTCATCAGCCAGACAATCGACAAACATTCTTGATGGAGCCCAAGCTCGCTTCTTCTGACATTCGTACAGTTATGCTTCACTGTGCCAGTCGCGATGGAATTAGATTCTGCATCGTCAATAAAATTCACGCTATCTAGCCTTTATGACAATTACTTACATGACATTCCATTGCATCGCACTTCGCACAAGTTTCACTCTCACACCGATGTCCCTGTGTGTATCCGTGGGTATATATTGACGAAGCTTAGTCTATAGTCGTTCGCATCCGACCTTGCCGTATACGCGGCAACTGAAGCCAGCCCAGCTTTGCTGGGGTGAAATGCTATGATCGCTCTTAACATAATCCATCGATCAAATGCGCATCGTTGCACGCAATGCACCAATTCTTAAAGGTTTATATCCCAAATTATTTACTGAGACGATTGGCCGGATTTCATCTGTCGCTTATCGCATATGCCTTAACAAGGACGCTAAGCCGTTTTCTATATAGCAGCCACGTCCTATTCCGTTGGCGAAACGTGTGATGGTTAAGAAACACATACAGGAATGGGATCCAACGAGCTGGTACAGCCAATTAACTGTCACGAATAAGTGCATCCCATGGTCATGATCTTAAAGAAGGACGGTACTGTGCACATTAGCATTGACTTGAAGGCGTTGAATAGTCAGATCGTCGTCGGAAAGTGCTTCCTACAATTGCTGTTGCTAGTCAGCATAATTGCTGCACGATTTTTCTGTCCTTTAGACCCCAAGAGGGATATTTTCTACATGCCGTTAACACCAGAATCGAGACGATTAATTGCTTTTCTGTCATTTAGCCATCTGTTCCAGTGTAAAGTTCTACCAATGGGGCTCAGCCCCGCTCCCGCAGCTTGGCAGAAGTTCTTGAAGCAATCATTAGCAGATCTAGCGGGACAAGTCGCTTACATGGATGATATTTGCGTTCTCCGCCCTTCAAGAGAAGTGCACGACTCAAGGCTACGCGCTGTAGTATACCGGTCGGAGAGCCTAGATCTTCGGCTTAATCTCGAAAAATGCACCT